CACCCTGCTCTCTGTGAGGGCCGACCGTACCGTAATCAGTTAGCTGTTCAATTTGGAAATGTGCGCCAACTGGACTGTGATAATGGGACCGTCGCGTCGGTCACGTCAGTCGATGATGTGCCAGTCATTGACGCCTCTGCTGGCGAGCGACCAATCACCATTTGCAGTTGCCCGATGCGTTTCGATGCTGCGCTTACGAATCTATCTCGCTGAGAGCTGATAGAACCCCTGTCCCCGGCTGGTCCGCCGCCGCGCTAGCCGCTCCGTCTACCGCCGGGCTGTGCCGTGCGGTCGCCGTGATGCAACTACACCCGTCGGCGGTACTCTCGGCCACCATCGTGTCACGCTCCTCGTGAGCGGCTCCCGCGCCACGACGGGCCATCTGCCATTCAGGCAGCGGCCGCGGGAGCGTCGGTTACGTCAGCGGCTGGCGCGGGCGGGCGCGCTTGCCGTTCGAGTTGTGCACCTTCACTTTCGGCGCGCGCGCGCTCGGCTGGCCCGCTGGTGACCCAGATCGGCGGCGTACACCGGGTGCGCCGCGCCCGACAGCCGTGCACATTGCACGGTGCACGCCGGGAGGAGAGGGGGGGGCGCCAATGTGTCGCCGTCACCGCGGCCGCATCAATCTCGACTGAGGAGGCGGCGCAGCTGCGAAAATAGCCCTCTGTCCATCCGCTTACGGTGGAGTTTTCTGCCGGCCGTTTTTGTGGGTGTTTGTGTGCCCCAGTTTGGCGCAGCGGGCTCAGTCGAGTGCTGACAGGGCACACCCGGACAGGTTGAAGGAAGGGTACACGCCGCCGGGCCGCTCCTGGCGAACAGATGCCGCCGGTTCCGCTCCGCACGCCGGATGTGGAGCTCCGGGGGCTTTAGCGTCACTCTGACGTGTTCAACCATTCATCCCTCTCACTCCATCCGTGACGACTTGCTGCCAGTTGGCGCTGTGGATCCCGGCTTACTGCATGTAGCAGGCTCGCGTGACCCCTCCCCCTCCCTATCTGCCCCCCTCCCTTTAATCATGCGTTGGTAGGTGGTGCAATGAGTTCCGTTCGATCCAGCCCGGCCCCCTCGGTGAGCAACTAGCTTGGTGTGTGTCTGGATCCCCTTTCCGCCCATGCAGCGTGCGTTGTTTGCGCCAGGTGACACTATTGCAGATAAGGCGCAGCCTGTTGTGGATTATGGAGTGACGAGTGTGCCGGTGGTCAAGTGGACCCGTGGATGGACGAACGGATGTTCTGGGCGGTTCATTAATAAGCTGCTCCTGCCGGCTGTCGCCCGCTGCTGCCGGTTGGCTCGCAGTCGTGTGTGGTCCTGCTCTGCTGCTGCTAAGTTGATGGATGATTCGCCTCAGCAGTCGGCACCAGGCAGTCATCCTAGGTGCCGTGCTGAGGGATGTGGTCGTCAGTGAACGTCAGCCGTCCACTACAGGATGTCAGGAGCCGTCTCCTCTGATGCCTTTGAGTTGTCGTTATTGCCATGGCCCCCTGCTGTCTCTGATTTATCCGATACGTCCGCCTCTTTCCGGTCGACTTCGGTCCCCTGAGTCGCCCTCATTCCGCGCCGCGTGGCCCGCGATTTCTCCCAGTGGTCGGCCCGTGTGGTCGGCCGATTGGATCCCCTGGACGGGCTGTTTCCGGCCCACCTGACTCGGCATTTGTGTCGCCTCGGCTCGTCTGTGCGCGTCTCACGTGTGTCGCGCACCAGACGAGCCGTCGCCGCCGCCTCTGCCGCCTCGGGAGGCGACTGGAGTGGCTGCTGATGGGACCGTGGACAGGTCACAGCTCGTGCTCGCTCGTCATGTCCATCTCTGAGAGATCGGCGTCTCCGTCCCGGTGGCAGGGCACGCGCAAACAGCTTTCACCCACGCACCGGCGGCACCCGTTGGTGTCTGGCGCCTGTTTGCTGAGTTGCGTGGGGCCCGCGTGGCCCGGCGCGGCCCGGCACCGTTCGCCACTGTGTACCCGCTCTATGGAGTGTAGCGGGACCGACTTTCGCCGGCCGGCCGGCCCGGTCCGCGACCCCCTCGCGCCCCGCCGGCTCCGATCGGGCCCGCTATTCGCGTCCCCTCCCCCTGTGCGGCTCGGCCTTTGTGTGGCGCCGGTGAGCCAATTTAAAGGGACGGCGCGCCGCTCAATGGCGGAATGTGGGCCGCGGAGGGGAGACAGACGGGGCGACGGAGAGAGGTGGTGATCGGATCGGTATGGGCTGACGGTGGGGCGCAGACGAACGGGGACGGAACGGGACGCCCCTGTCGTCAACACCTGCCGCGCAGAAGACCGTTATTAGCTGTAGCCGAGCGCGTGGGCGTGGGGGGAATTTGAGCGGTGGTGTGATGACACCCTGACCGCTCGGAATCACCTTGGTGTGTAACTAATGACACGATGAACGTCCCAACAGCATGGGCGGCCTAGTTAGGCGCCGGTGCGAATACAATGGGCGTTTTTATCATTTGTCCCCTGACCGTTACAGTGCAGCTAACCTGAACGGTCTCATGCAATAGGAAGTTGTAGCCAGAGCCGGTCAAATGTCCTCATGCGCCATGTCAAAGTTAATCCCTTCCCTCCCCACCCGCACGCATGCTTACACCCTTCCCACGCTTTCTCATGGATGTCTTGCAGTATCTCGAAGATGAGTGGTCACAACTAGTCCGTCGGTAAGGAGCTCTATCGCTCTGGACTGAATCCGGACCAAACGACCCTACAGCTGTACAAAAATAAAGCGGACCGCTGCAATCCATAGCGGCGCCTGCAATGAGGAAAAACTCCCCTCCCCGCCTCCGTGAAACTGGACTCTGAACATTCCGAGCGTTCAGGAGCGCGGCTCCAAACGGGGCAGCCGTAATCCACACCGCGCGTGTGGCGGCGGCCTGCTGCTGGCTGATGCTAGTGGACGCCAGGCCGGGCCGGACGTTTGGAGGCGTCGATTGGCGCTCGTTGTGGCTCGACGCCGTACCAGAGTTTGATCGTGGTTTGGCGTCCGTACGTATGCATTATACAAGAAGGGTTTTAGAGCTTGTACGCGTTCGACTGCGTTCTGACGCGCATGTATCATCGGAAAAACGGTTTTGCGTGACTCGGAAGCCGTGAGACCATGCCAAAACGACTCACCCCTCGCTCACCTCGGCTGGGTCACCTGGGCCGCGCAGTCCACAGTGCACAGTCTTATTCTCATCAGCGCTGTACACTCCTGTCTCTGTACCCTACCTCGAGCCGCCAAGTCACCTACAGCCGTTGTCCGGCCCGGCGTGGGCCGCGCTCGTCATTAGCCCACTCACGACTCTCTCACGTGGCCCGGGGGAGGCGTGAGGGCCGGTCCTGCAGCGGGCGTATGTCGGTCACCGGGCTCCGAACGGATGTGAAAGGGCGTCCGCCGCCCCACCGCCCCGCTGCGCCGCCCCGCGCTGCTGGCCCACACCGCCGCGTCACCGGCCAAATTGGCGACCCCCCACCGGCCGTTTTGGGGTCAGCGGCGCCGATGAGTTTGCCTGTCCTACCGGGTGTTGGGGGTGCACGGGGACGTGATGGGACGCCGGCTCGGTGCAGGAGCGGCGTGTGAGACAGGATGTGGCCACTCGGCCGTCCGTACGTGCCGTGTCGGTCTGTGGACGTGGCGGGAAGGACGCCATGTGAATCACTAGAGCAGTGGATCGGGGGACTGCAGCGACCGGTCCGGGCTGTCAGACGGGCCGGACCGGGTGGTGGCGTCACCCTGTCACCCCCCCCCCCCCGGACCGTTCGCAGCGGTAATCCCAGACGGACCGGGCGAGCGCGTCCTGGTCTGCCGTTGATTGCGCTGTGCAATGTGCGGTGTGCACGTCTCATCCATCAGTCCATCTCTAAATGTGCTAACCCGGCCTAGTCCCGGATGACACGCGGCAGGGCGGGTGGCCGGGTTAGTGTCGACCGTCGATTTCTCTTCAGGCTGGCACCCCGCAGTGTCCTGCAGAAATCAGGGCACAGCGGCTGTCACCGACTGTCAGCCTCTGCTGGCGGGCTTCTGGAGCCGACTGGTGGGACGGTGTGTCGTTTGGGACAGTGGGACAGCTGGGACAGCGGGCGTCCTCCCCCGTCCCACCTGATGAGATCTCAGGGCGGTGGTGGTCGCTCATCTAGGAACAAGGATTACATCTCGGCCTTTCACTACGGCCAGCTCTCCGTCGCAGTCGCAGTCTCGTCACAGCGCTGCAGATCCGTGTCGCCTTTCACGCGACGGACGTGGCGTGGGCTCTTATGAGCTGCTTCCGCCGCTGATAGCTGTCTATATGGAGCCGGGATGGACGGTAGATGGCAGATGCTGCTGACTTCAGTAAGCAGCGATGGTTTCTGATGTCCACTGATGTTTGTCACTCCTGGCGATTTTGTACTCGTTCCCGGCGCCGCTCTCACCCGCGCGCTCTGTTCCGCGGCGCTCCATCGCGGTCCATCAGCCGGTGACAATTAGCGGTGCGGTGCCGTGCCGGTGCGTCACCGTGCCGATCCGCAGCGCTTCCTGTTTGTGCGCCGCGCCGTGTGGCTGTCCGCGCCGCCGGCAGCCCGTTAGAGCCGTGTTTGTCAGCTCGGAGCGCGGTGAAACCCTGTCCGATTTATAGTGGCGGCGGACGGCGCCGGTCCCCTGCGACAGACACTCGGAGCCATGGAGACGTCTCCGGCAGAACAGGACGGGAATTTACGGGGGAAAAGGATTGTCCGACCGCCTATTGTCAGCGACTTTCTCCGCATGTCGCGCAGTGCCCAGCGCCGTGCTGGACTGGCGAGGAATGTCCTGTACACCTATGAGACGGACGACGTGTCGAAAAGTGTGTCGTTCTGAAAGGGCAGTCGTGTCCAGTGTCTCTGTCTCAGTCGTGTCTGTTTGTTTTAGGTACCCGTTACTGTCTGGAGGTGTTGTGTGCTGTGTTCCGTTGCAGTCTCCCCTCGCGTGTAACGACTCACGATGTGGGTTGCACTTACTTGCCCTGCATTAGCTTACGCTGAGTCTGACATGCCCCTTCTCTGTGTCTGCAGCTGTGCGTCAGGACCGGATGCGAGGCGGACGGAACAAGTTCGGCCCCATGTACAAGCGGGACCGGGCGCGCAAGATGCAACAGATCCGGCAGCGGCAGCTGATGGGTCCACAGCGCGTCGGTCTGCCGCCGGTGGGCTCCGAGGCGGTCACCATCAGCTACCCGTCGCCGGCCACCTCGCTGCCCATCACCTACAGCGCCGGCAACGGCTCCAACATCACCATCAAACAGGAGATCCAGTACCCGGTGCTGAGCTCCACGTCTGCCTCGTCTCCCGACTCGTCGCCGTCGCCGCTGCTCGGCGCGCCGGCTGGCAGCGGCGCGCTGCTCGAGCCGTGGGGCGCCGGACGCACCGACGTGCCCACCATCATCCGAGAGCTGGTGGCCTCCCTGGACGACCGCGAGTGGCAGCAGCAGCTGTTCCGGCTGCTCCAGACCCAGACCTACAACCAGTGTGAGGTGGATCTGTTCGAGCTCCTCTGCAAGGTGCTCGACACCAACCTCTTCACACAAGTCGACTGGGCGCGCAACTCTGTCTTCTTCAAAGATCTCCGGGTGAGTACGGGGTGTGCGGTGCACGATGCTGGATGAAATGTGTGCGTGGAGCGGGGATGGCGATGACGCCCGCGCGCAGTGAGGCTGAATAGTGGCCGAGTGTAGCGCTATCGTGCGCCAATCGCCGAGCTAAGCCATCAGAACGCCAGTGAACCTACTATCGCGCCGCCCAAATAGTGACAAAAAACCGTCTGCGGCGCGGCGCCGGCCGTGTGCCCAGCTGTGCTGTGTTTCGGACGGAGTCGACAGTGGTGGTCGCCATGCGCCGGGATCTCGTCCGTCTGGGTAGTGTCTGACGGGACCGCCGCGCCGAGCCGGTACCTCTATGCGTCACCCCGTCGACGCCGAGAGACGGCCATTTTTTACCGCCGCCGCTGTCTGGCTAATGTTATCCATGGCGCGGCGATGGCGGCACCGCCCGCTCGCGGATGAGACAGGAAATGCCATTGGACGGAACGGACCAAGACCGACCGGCCGGCTGGGCGGCGCGTCCGCCGCCCACCACCGAGACCAGTCGACGGCGCCGGCGGCGGCCGACCCTGACCGCGCGCCGAGCCGCGGCGAAAGTGGTCGCCGCGCGCACTGGGTCAATGTCAGACGCCGGTGGTAAGACGCGCTCGCTGCCGTCGAGAGTGAGAGTCGTTGGGCCGGCTGGCGGCTCGGCGACGGAACCACCGACCGAGACGGGCCGCCAGGTGCTGGAGCGGCGCTGGACGGACCGGTACGCACGGGCGGATTAGCATATGACTCGTTTGTGGCACGGTGGAGTGCTGGCTTGGCAAGATCAAGTTTTTAACTTGGAAGGCAGCTGCTACAATCCGATGTTAGTGTTGAGATAGTATTGTGATGTCCCTCGATCTTATGATGGCTGCCGGTGTGTACGGCATTTCCTGCAAGTGGTTGATGCGTGGACTGGGTGCCTCTCGGCCGCGTGCGGCGCTAATCTGTCCGCTGCTGTGCGATTGCCGGCTATGAGGACGGCCTATCGTGAGCGCCCTGGTCTGGACAGCAGGTGTGTAGCCGTACTGGGGCGGTGGTTCGTAATGCCAGGACCGTCCCCTGGTCCTCTGAGGGACGTGGTCCTCTCCCGGTGGTCCGTTGCTCCGCCATGCTGCCTCTGTGGGCCGCCGGTGGTCGCCTGCCATTGGTGGTCCGGCCCGCTGGAGCGCCAATCAGGGCTACTCGGGCCCGCCCGCCGACCGGGCCCCCTATCTCCGGCCGTCCGGCCCGGGCTGACCACCCACTGGGCTGGCTGGAGCCGTTCCCCGCCTCCCCGGGACCGGCGGAACTGTCCAATCCCCCGTTCGCCCGCCGCGCCGACCGTCGCTCCTGCTCAAGACGGTCATGGCCATGTTTGGCACACCGCGTGGCGCACAGTCTTACTATCCAGACTGGGGCGTTATCTGTTCGAGAATCGGGCGTGAAGCATGCCTGCGACATTCTCCTGTGCGAGCCATTAGTGGCATTCCAGTCGTTTTCATTGCATTGTCCGCTTTGCCAGTTGGGCCGTCGGATCTTTAGGCAAAGTGCCGACTCGCCGTGTGTGATCGCGATCTTGCTGACTTTTTCACCACTCCTAGTGTAGCGGTGAAAAGACTTGGCGTGCCGGATTGCACCCGACTCGGTGCATAATACCTAACGCTGCCCGACCTCGGCACGTATTTTTGTGCATGGGCTGCAGCTGTCTAGTATTAGACCCTAGCGTTGGTTTTTGCCCGTGTTGGCCTGGTCTGGTCGCCGCGTCTGCTGGCCAATCCAACTGCCTCCCCGGGGGCGGGGACGGAGACGGTGACTGGCGCCGACCGTCAGTCCGACAAATTGGCATTTCCGGTGGCGTCGCGGCGTCTCCAGCCGTTCGCCGCTGCAGGGCTCCCTCCGTCCGGCTGGGTATTTGAAGTCATATTTCATCTGTGAGGAAACGTGGCCCGTCTGTTTCTAGACAGGAGCTATGCGTTTGTGAAAGACACCGGACAGAACGCCTGACCGGTGACCGCCTTTCCCCTGCCGTCCGCCCTATCTTCTCAGCTCTCGAACGACCGCCGTCCGCTCTTTCTATCCTCTGCTCGGGTCCTCCACCCTTTCTTTCCACCCTCCGCCCTGTGCAGGCAGCGCTCCGCGGCGAAAGTGGGCCCCGGGGCGGCGCCGGGGGCCGGATGGGCGGCGGTGTGCGCCGTGCGCACTGTGCGTGCCGGTTGCGTCAGCGAGCCCGCAGCGGCGCCGCGCTCCAACGGGGTCACGCATAATGACGTCTGCACCATGTGGGTCGCCCAGTCGCGGCTGCAGGGCGGCGGTCGATGTCGTCAGAGGCCGCTGCAGACGGCTGGAGCAGGCGTCGAGGGGAGGACAGGACGTGGGGAGGGGGAGAGTGCGTAGTGGTGGATGGTGATGGGTAGGGAGAAAGGGGTAGGGTGTTACTGAGGGACCGGCGGTTTTCTGGCGGTGTTCGTCTGTTGATAGCCTATCTCCTGCGGACGGATGGCTTCTGCCCCAGTGATCTCAACTCAGCGCCTGCTAAGTCTGAGATTATATGTCTGTCTGCCTTAAAGTGAGATTATGTCCGCCCTAGCAACTAAATTGGGTCCCGTTTTCGGACTCTGTGTATAATCCCGGCTCTCGCAGCGGCGGCCCCCCGTCGGGACAGCTCAGTCGGCTGCCCCGCCGCCTTTGCACACACGCAACCCATTGTGGCGCGACGGAAGTCGGCGTCTTCCCCGTCGGTCCGGAAAAGTTGCGGCGCGGCCAGTTAGGCGTTTGTTCTGTGTGTTCCGACCTGTTGCCGGGCTGGTGCGTTCAATCGTAGCGGTCCGTCGGATGTCGGTCGCCCCTTCAGGCTGCGACCGATCGGTGCGTGATTCTGCGCCGGGGTCGACGCACGCTGACCTTTGCAGGCGTGCAGGTCGTTGCACTACGCACCGGTCATGGCGGGACGCGTCATTCGGCCGGTCAACGCCCTCAGAAGAGCCAGCGTTAGCAGAGCCCGCGAAGGCTCGACAGCATGCCTCACGGAATGCCGACAACTCACTCCAGGTGCTCAGGCCCGCTTTTGGCGTGCGACAGGTGCGGCTGGGAAGCTTTCTTCGACGTTTGAACAATGCATCGGAAGAAATTCCTCTGAAACAAAACTTGCCTGCGCTGTGTCGCTAATGGAACAATGCAGGCACCCTGCATGCCGTTACATAGCGTTTAATTAGCGAACCGTGCGGTTTTAGTGTTGCAGACACCGTGCGGCGCTTTCAAAAGTTGGACTGTTTCCGCGTTGTAGCGTGGAAGAGTCCTCAAGCGTTGTGACAGCGCCGCTAGGTGTGTGCCGCGCATGCCTGCTGCGGGGACTGACTCCTTCAGCTTGTTCGTCCCGCTTTGTTGCACAGGCTTTGTTCGTCACACTGCGATAGCTAGTTTGTTCGAAATAGTTTACTGGCCGCAACACAAGTATTGTTGCGCGTGACATGCTGAGCAACCATGCCATGCAATTTCTTCTTTGTCGCGTTCCTTTGTCTGTTCTTTGTTTCTTGTTCTTCGTTTTAGTCTGATCACTGTATAGTGTATTGCATTTCTGCATGCAAATTGCATTTTCCATCGTTTATTGTGGGTTTCCTGCACTCGAACATTCAATTTACGATCCACTGCGAATCATTCAAGACAAACCCGGCGGCATTGGCTCGTTCCAACCAGAGCCGTCCTGATTCCGAACTACAGCGCCTATCCGTAGCGTCGCACACTCCTAACGGTATTTCCTCGCTGTCCCGCTCCGTCCCAGTCAACCTAACGGCGTGCCGTCCGTTTTCCCGCTGGGCTGTCTGCAATATTCATGTCCCAAACTGGAAAACTGGGCGCAGACTTGCCGGGTTTCCTGGTCGGCGGCCGCCTGGGCGCTCAGTGCTGCGACCGACGACGGTGGTAGCGGCCCACTGGGAGTTTTAGTCTGTCGTTGTCGCTGAGGGTCTCTCAGCGTTCCCTGGTTGGACCGGGAGTGGGTCACCCGGCTCACTCCGATGGTAGCGAGCCGGCGCAAAGCCAGCCCTGCCGACTGGCGTCAGATTTACTGAGAGCCGTCACAATGCCCGGAGTGAGCCGCTCTGCCGCCGCGCTGTATTGTATCCCTTGAGACGGTGGCTCCGTCGGCGCCCTGTTCTCAGGCACAGGGCCGGGCTGGTGTGACCAGGTGTGGCCAGGTGACTTCCAGCGACGCTTTATGTCGCAGACTGGCCGTCGGAGCCGGGCCACAGGCTCCGCTTCCGTCCGTCTACGGCGCCCCTTTGTGGCCGGCCCGTCCACGTGGCTGGCCCCGTCTCGGCCCAGTTTCTCAGTGGCGCAGACAATACAGACCGGCCGTCTGGAGGACGGGCCACTCCGCCCCTCCGCGCGCGCAAAAAATGGACCCCAGTCGCGACAAAAAAAAGCTCGGGCTCGATGCTGCGACGACGGCGGCGGTGGCGGCGGCGGCGGCGGCGGTGGCAGCGGTGGCCTTGGCTGCGAGTGAAAGTGCGGCGGTGCGGTCGTCTTGTGTCACGGCCCGACCGAGTGGTCGGCCGGCCGGAGCAGCCCCAGGCCCCCTGAGGCGCGGCCGAGCGCTACGAGAGCTGCTCGGATCCCTATGCACGCCTCTGGGACCCTCTCATAAGCTGAGGACCATGACTGTGACGTGAGGAGCGTATGGCCCTGCCATGACAGTCTCAGAACTGCGCCGCTACCGACCGCCGCCTCGCCGCCGCATTGCGAAACGCGCCGCCGCCGTCTCTGCGGGTCGCGGTGGAGCGAAGGGGATAGATTGAAGTGGAGTGGAGAGAAGTGGAGAGGACCGGCTGTCGCCGTCAGCCGTGTGTCGTCATCTCCAGGCCGTTCGGCTCCCGTGTCATGCGGCCCGGTCTGACTGGCTTACATAGCGGTCCTAGACGGCTGGATTCCAGACCCACGAGACGGCAGCACAGCAGTTTATGGTAGTCCTTACTATTTATATATTTATATATGTTACAGTTAGTATGCGAAATCCGTTAGTTTGCAACGCAACTAGTTTCGTTGCAAACTACCTGACCGGCCAGGTAGTTTGCAACGAAACTAGTTCCGTTGCAAACTAACTGACCGTCCAGTTAGTTTGCAAACTAACTAGTTAGGATGCAAACTACCTAGTTACTTTGCAACGGAACTAGGTGTGTTGCAACGGAACTAGTTGTAATGCGAAATCGACGAGGCAGTGGCTCTATCTGTCGTTTATAATTCATCTTTTACGTAAATTTTAGCAGCGGTTGTTAAAACAAAGCTGTGTTTTTCTAACGGGTGACACTAGACATACGTGTAGGACGAGTGGTCACATTTATGGATGAAAATTGAAACAGTTTCGACTACATAATGTGACGATCACTGGCGGATCCAGAGGAGGGGCAGTTCCGGGGGACATTTTACGCTTCTTTTTTTTTAGACACCCACTAACACCAGTCACCACCGCCGCCGCACAGAACAGAACTGAACTGTATTGTCCCATATTGTCCCGTGATCCGGGGTAAGCGTGCGATCAAGAATCTGTCTCACCGGCCGACTCCTACTGCGACTTGCCTAGCCAGGTGACCTAGCGGTGCCGGGTCATTCGGTAACAGCCAATGATCAAAGGGCAGGTTGCGTCACAGACTGATCGGTTGTGGAGGTAGGAGCTCGTCAGCGACTCGGTTATGGAATATTCCGAAATCGGCAGCAGAACCTTTACTTTCCGCTTATCCCGCGCCCCACTGGGGTCTGTGTAATGTGCTGTATAACACGCCCTACTGGGGGGGGGGTCATTCGGTAACTCCTTACTCCGAAACTACTAAGCCGATCGTCAAAATTCAAACGGCATCTAATAGCCCCGGAAAAACTGTTGAGTGAAACCAAATTTCATTGACCTCGAGGTCACCGATATCGTCACAGGTCAGGTCAAAGTAAACATTATCGATATTTGGCTTGTTCACCTTTTCGGCTCTGTGACTGCCGTCTTACAAGTCAGATCAGGCTGATTTTTGGTTTACACACTCGTGAACAGATGCTTTAGATGCTCTGAGGGTACCAAACTTGTACTTTGATTTTCAGGTCAGGGTCAGGTCATCATAGGTCACGGAAATCTTATGTCATAAGTCGCTCACATGACCCATGTTTTATGATCCGTTTAGGCCATAGATTTCGAATTCGGTGTCGCCTGTGTCAGTTGAGGCCATTTTCATCTGAATATAGCTGAGGTCAGGTCACTTTCAGGTCAAAAAAGGTCAAATTTTAAAGTTGAAATTTTTCAACAAAAACATGTCTATCGGATGCAGTTTGAGCTCAGGAACACGATGGTGCTGTTTATATTGGTGTACGATGCCAAATTGGTACAGAAAAATTGATTTGAAAATTTAACATTGTGAAATTTTTGCTATACCTAATGCGTATAACTTGGCCATTTTTGAAGATATCTGGCTAAAACTTGCTAGAGTAAGTCATAAGCATGTGTTCTATCATATTTATTCCGTTTTTTTTCGAAAAGTCCAAAAGTTTTTGAAAAAAGATAAAAACAAATTTTAGATTTTAATATGTATAATTTTCAAAGCTAACAAAATTTTGAAAATTTTGAAAATCGAACATGACGTCACTCTGACGTCATTTCCGGCTGACCTATGATAGATACGAAGTTCAAATTTTGACACAAGGTGTCAAATTGATGCAGCCGAAGGTACCTACTGAAAGTTTGGCGGCGATGCGTCAAGCGGTTTAGAAGTTATTGCAGAAAAACGGGAGGGGGGGCTATGAATAGCCCCCCCCCCCAGTGGGGCGCGGGTTATGTCTACACATTTATGGTGATCACTGGCGGTTCCAGAAAGATGGTCTTAAACGTTGCGGGAGACATAATCCCAAAAGTTTTCCAAAAACCTTTCGGATTTTGATTCCAATCCTTTCACACGGCTATGCAATCTAACACAAGTATTTGATTATAAAAGTTGTTCAGTTTTCGTTTAGTTCTCAAAATAAGTAAATATTTGTCGCTTTCGGGCGCTGCGTGGATGGCGGAGCGATTTTGCCCCCCCCCCCCCTCTGGATCCGCCAGTGATCGTAACGTTATGTAGTCGAATCCGGTTAATTCACTGTTTCTATCCTAAATGTGACCACCCGTCTTATGTCTAGTGTCACCCGTCAGAAAAGCACAGCTTTGTTTTAACAACCGTTGCTAAAATTTACATAAAAGTTTAATAACCTACAAATAGAGCCACTGCCTCGTCGATTTCGCATTACAACTAGTTCCGTTGCAACATACCTAGTTCCGTTGCAAAGTAACTAGGTAGTTTGCGTCCTAACTAGTTAGTTTGCAAACTAACTGGACGATCAGTTAGTTTGCAACGGAACTAGTTTCGTTGCAAACTACCTGGCCGGTCAGGTAGTTTGCAACGAAACTAGTTGCGTTGCAAACTAACGGATTTCGCATACTAACTGTAACATATACACTGGTCCTTACCACGTCTACGTCTATCATCACCGCATATGAAGAAATCATTCGTAATAACTGCGAGTGAAATGGGTGCCTTTGCATGCTTATGCTTGGGCGTTATCCCGAAATGGGTATGGAACTGAGGCAGCTCTTATCCGAGCACTCTATTTCACATTTCGCTGAATTGGTTTTGCGTTTGGCCGCCTCAAACACTTCGTTATGCAACATGCATTTAGCATTCCTGGCACATTCGTGATATGTTGGACTTTCGATCCTGCACGATAAATTAATTTGATTACGTGTAACCAGTTTTGCGACAGCTGAATTTACCGGTGACAGTTACTCGAGTGGGCGTAGGTATTTCGTAACGCGCCGCGTGTCGTTTGAATTCTGCAACTCCCCGCGCCGGGCTGGGCGGTTGGTTGGGCCGTGCCTGCGGGCGCTGTGGCGGGGAGCGCGTGCGGCTGGAAAGTGGCAGGTACCGGTCGCTGGTCGGTCCGGTCAGGGCAGCAGTCGCGGCTCGCGCCCTGACCCAGCCACGCGCCGACAACCCTGCCTTCCACCGGGCGGCTATTGGTCACGAGTTCATGCTGTTAGAGACCGGCGCTCATTAGGCCTGTCTGCAGGGTCTCACGTCTGTCTTCGGGCGGCTCATGAGAGGAGAAAACGTGCGCTCAACTATAGCGCGCTAGTTAGTCCAGTTAGACTTATGATGAAACTGTTTGGTAAAGTGACACGAGAAACCACTTTCAGTTGAGATGAGGTCTTTGATGAACATGGCGTCTATCATGGCTGACCAGGGCCTCGGCGTATTAGAGACATTGCTGTGATATTTCCCCGACAATGTTGTTCGCTGGACGTTTGGCCTGCGCCGCTGGGTGCTCCAGAGGGTCTCTCGGGCTGTGGGGAGGTTAGCGCAGTGTGCGCGCGGCGAGCGGCCTCCTCGGCTGATGAAACCTGCCGCGGCAGCGCGGGTCAGCGGTGCAGGCCCGCTATTCAGCCGAGTAAAAGTGTGCGCTGACATCGATAGACGTTGCAAAACTCGGTCGAGAAAGAGAGAGGTTACACTGAGCGGCGACTGGTTTACCGTTTGACAGCAAACGCTGAACTTTATGTGGTACTGCGCGTTAGGTTACACGAGTTTTACCTGTTCAGGTATTGTCTAACCCATGTTTGTAGTTATGAAATGGGAATTGCCTGTAAGCGTGTCGCAATCGCTAAACGCCAGTCGAAATAACGGTGTCCGTGCACAGCGTGTGTGTCAGCGATTGCGTTACCACACTTTTACACCATTCGTAGCCCCGCCATCTACGGCCGCTAGCGCCAACTGCTGGTTGTGCCGCCCGCCGCTGGTGGCAGTACCGTCGCCCGTGCGCCGCATGACGTTTGCTCTCTGTTTCCGGCAGGTGGAGGATCAGATGAAGCTGCTGCAGGCCACCTGGTCAGTTATCATGATCCTGGACCACATCCACCAGCGGCTGCACAACAACCTGCCCGACAGCACCACACTGCCCAACGGCCAGAAGTTCGACCTGCTCACCCTCAGCCTGTTCGGCATGTCCGAGCTGGTGCCGCAGCTCAACGACGTCACCGCCCGGCTGCAGGAGCTCAGCTTCGACGTGTCCGACTACATCTGCCTCAAATTCGTCCTGCTGCTCGACCCCAGTGAGTAGCGTGCCGCCGCCCGGTAGTAGCATGCCGCTATCTACCGCTAGTGTATTTGATATCAGAATGCCTAGCACTTGAAAAGTCTGTAACACTAACTTCAGTTGAATATTGCGTCGAATCTCACGTTTGGTAGGTGTGTATTTCACTATGGCTCACTATGCTATGCATTAAACCACAGTTCTACTGTTATCTATGATTATCTGTTCTACTGTTATCTGTGATTAAACGTATTTTCCCCAGTGATGCCTCTGCCAACGCTCTCCTGTCATCTCACACACACTGACCTTTGCCCCTTCTGCTCTGCGCTGGTACCGCAGACCTACAGACGCTGGGTAACCGGCGGCACGTGCAGCAGGCCCAGGACCAGGTCAAGCAGGCGCACATGGACTACTGCGCCGCTGTCCACCCCGATATTCAGGTGAGAGACTGACGGGAGTGCGGGACGGAACGGGGGAGGGATGCTGGTGGTCGCTCATGTCTTGAAGGGCCTCAAAGCTTTGGTGGTTTTGGTATTGGACTCCGAATGGCCGAGCTGACTCAATGTCGATTTCTTTTCTGACCTCTTCTATGATGTTGGTCATTACCACTGCCATTGGTATGTAGTGGTATCTGCTTTTAGGGAGCGTTAGTGTGCGTCAACTTGCAAATGGTACCCTTTTCTAATGCATTCAGCAGCGTAACTCTTGGCGGATGCTCGCGCTTGCTCCCACCTTTCCACCTTCCCCTGACCGATGTGCTGTGTCTGGCGACCACTAACACCCATCTCTCTCCAGGGCAAGTACCAGCGGCTGATGGCTCTGCTGCCCGAACTGCGGGACCTGGCTCTGCGAGGGGAGGATTATCTGTATCAGAAACACGACCAGAACGATCACAACCGAGCCACCTCCCTCCTCATCGAGATGCTGCATGCGCGCAGACGTGAGTAGGGACGGGGATGCCGGATGGGAGTCTTCTGATGGACTTTTACATGGTTGATGGTCAGCAATCAGATCGCGAGCACACCGGTAGTGCTTTTATTTTGCAACCGTAAGAATGTTATGCAATGCTGGGCTGCTACCTGATAGCAACCAGAAATGAGAAGTAGCGTTACTAATCGGGATTGCATGATTTCGATTTGTATATTTTAAAAAAGTACACAACTAATTTCAGTCATAAATGCCGGATGGCAGTCTAGTTTCTTGAGCCTCGGGGCAGTAGTGTTTTGTCTTGGGGTATTTCTTCGGCACCAGTGCTGACGTATTGTACGGCCCTTGCTGATATTTGTGCTGCTGCTGTTTCAGATTGCGGTCGGCTGCCGGCGCCCTGAGACGGCCTCCCGCGCGCGGACGGAGCGCGGCCCTCTCCGGACCGCCCCACCAGTACAAACGCCGAGGCGGCATCACCCTCGCCCGCGCGCCGGCGGGCGGCCGCCGCCAGCCGCCCCGATCGGACGCTATCATTCTGTGCATACTTCGCCGCTCGCCGCGCGAACGCAACGGTGTGAGTGAGAGTGAACGTCGAGTGATCCGTGGAAACCGAGTGAGGATTGGTGGAGAGAGAACCGGCGCCAGCCGCCGCCAGAGACTGGTCTGGTCGGGCCGGCCGCCACAGTGCAACCGTACTGCCCTGGTCTGTGAGGCCGCTGCCGCCGCCGCCGCCGCCGTTGCTGCCGCTGCCGTCGTATGTATGTGTGCGTGTCCGTCTGTGTGCGCGGCCGGCCGCCCGGCGCGCGCGGCGCCGCCCGTTGTGTGTTGTGTGGTGTGTCGCCGGCAGAGGTTTATTTTTTGGTACTCGGCGCTCGGCGGGCTGCCAGCTGTGGCCGAGAGGCCCGCAGTACCTGACGCACCGTTAATGAAGTCCGTATTTTGCTACTGGAATGGTTTAGTCGGCGTGGCCTGCCGCCCGGTTTTAGTTGAGAAAACCGAGGAGCGGCGGCCGGCTCGCGAGCACCCGGCACCCGTGCCGGTCGGTCTGTATGTCTGTCTGTCTGTCTGTTTGTCTGTCGGCGCGCGTGCTGCCGGCGGCGCGGACCGGCAGGCCGTGTGATGTGAGGGGACGCCGAGCTGTCGGCCGCCCGGGCCGCGCCGGCGTCCCACTCGGACCTCTTTTGTTACCATATTGTTATAAATTATAGAGGGTGCGCGTGTCCGCCGGTGGGAGGTTTGTGTGTGTGTGTGTGTGTGCGTGTGAGGGATGTCTGTGAGGGGCTCTGCAGCGCCGCGTGCCGCCCGCCCGCCGCCGCCCGCCGCCTTCGGTACGAGTGTCGCGCGTGTAGTGGGTAAGTTCGCCGTCCGCCGCGCTGCCTGCGTCGGCCGGCCGGCGCCACAGCCGTCCGGGAGCGGGGCATTACGATACTGCTGCGGCCGCCGCGCTCCTCCTGTCTTTCCCCCGCTCTCGCTCTCCGTCTCCGCGCCTCGCTCCGCCCCCTCCCTCCGGCTCTCCTAGTGGTAGGTCTGTCTCGAAGACGCGCGCGCCCGACCCGCGGCCGGTAGCGCCCGTTTGTGTCGCACTAGTCATGTGGTTATTTTTGCTAGTCATCTCGACTTGTGTTCAGTGGCCGATAGGGCGCGCGCGCGCGCGAGCGCACGGCCGCCGGTATGTGCGCCGATTTTGACAATGTTTTAACATTCCATAGGTGCGTATGGTGGGTGGGTGGGGTACGGCCGGCGGCCTGGGTGCGGTCGCCCCGGCTGCCTATGGCTCGGGCGCGCGGTGGGGTCGGGCGGCCCGCGGTAGCTGCGAGCTCGGGATGGAAGTGACGACCCGGCGCGGCAAAACCTCTCCGTCTCGGTGCGTCTGTCTGTCTGTGTCTCTGCGTGTGTGAGATTGTGTGCGAGTGTTGTGATGGAGTGTTTTATCTGCATAGAGCACATCGGAACGTGATCGAATTTGCTGCCCTGATTGTGAAAGGAGTGTGAGAGGGACTCATGGTGACACGAATAAAGGTACATCACCTACCATCGGAGACGTCTCTGCCTGCCTGCGAGTGTCTGTGGGGGGGGGGGGTGAATAGAGGTAGCGACATTGTTTGAGTAAAGACGAGAGGACACAAGTATGTCTGTTCATTGGCTAGTATCATGAAATTAGCCCTAGATGAAATTAGCGGCATTCTATGTAGTACCTACGTCCTGCAGTTGCGGTTGGGGAAGATGATCAAGAATGCTCGTCTACGGTGTTGAGAGCCAGATAGCTTTAATGGTGGTGTCAAGGCCAAGTGGTGGTGTTACGAAATTCTGTTATATGGCCTTGCGATATTCAGCGCTCGTGATCCTCGAGATTCTGATCTTCCGTGGCGTGAAGGTAAATAAGCATACTCTCCCAAAATTTTACCTGATATGGAAGCACAAGGAAAGCTGCTTTTATGGCGCACGTGTTTCCTAATAATAATTTGCCTTTCTCTGTTTGTGGTCGTGTGAGTTGAGGGGTTTTCGGGTTTATTTTATTTTATTTTAATATTTTCACACAATTTATTACTTTTATTTTTGCTAAGAGGCTAGAGCACTATGGTAAACAGTAACCTACGTAATTTTATACGACCTTGGCAATGGCTTCCAATAAGGCTAGATTAGTTGAAATTCAAGCTTTTTGATAATTCAAATTCTGACGATGACAATACACTCAGAATATGCAACTTGCAAGTAGACTGAAATCAAGAAATTGAAATGCCTGACTGAGACTGAAAAAGCTTTTGCTGTTATACTCAGGGACCAGGGTAGTCAGCTGTTAAATCAATGTTAGCGTATGCAATTAGTATCATTGACGTCATCGGTCATTCTGATGTCATTTGTGGCCAAATTGCCATAGCCCCTGAAAAAATTTGGTCACAATGTGTAAAATAGATGCCTGGAGGGGTCCTGAATGTTTGCTGGTGATATCTCCAGCTGTTAAGGAGATATCTACGAAAAAGTACATGGGCCCGTTCCCACTTCCCCTCCTCTATGGGGCGCAGGCTAAGGATCACAATCATATCAAATTGGATTCAATTGCAGGCTGCAGCCCCATGGCCTCAACGGGCTCAACTTAGTCAAAATCATTGAGAGGAATCAGGAAAGGGGATCCGCAATGCTGCACCAGACCATGATATAGAAAGTGAGCCAAAACACAAAACCATTCCATGCATTCCAGTTCAAGAAAGTTTGCCACCATCCTTACGAGAAATAAATGTATAATATCATCATGGGCTTCGGAAATCCACACGGTGAGGCACACTGGTTATTTGATAGGCTAGTGCCTGGTGGCAGACTGGCCACATTGATTCTTCAAAACATTTTGATTTTGAAAGTGCTTTGCCAGTGCTGCAGTTCTGTAATGAACGATGAACCTCAATGAAGGCTTTTATTCACAACATTGCTGGAAAACAGGGAACCAAGCATTAGGCTCATAAACCATGCAAAGCACATGCAACACCATGCCACAGCCTGCACATGCAACAACATAAATATACAACATTCACCGTCCCTCAAGACTGAGCGTGCCAAAACTACGCTCAGCAACACTAACACAAAGACAAACTCCTCGCCACACCATGTCAAAACGCTCGCCTGTCACGGCTTACACATCTGATAGTCCATTAATCGAACAGGCACCTGCTTCACCCTGGTTGACCTTCGCAGAGGCCGATCCAAATTCGTTACAGTGGTATCAGGACAGTCAGGCGAGATCTCGGGAGGTACATCATGAACATCCGGTGCAGAGACGGACACAGCATCAGACGAGTCGCCACGCTCAGCGGGACACACAGGGTCACAGGGCGAGTCAATAGGAGGCACGTCTGTGTCACTCGATCGATGATCACCCATCTGGCAGTGCTCCCCAGCGCTCTCACCTCCCATGGGCGAGAGATGACGGATAGAGACAGTCGGCTCACGACCACTCGGCAGTCGGACCTTGGCGTACGTGGGAGTAACGTGCAGAAGATCGACCTCATCCACCAGAGGCTCGTACTTGCTGGCGCGGTTGAACCGACGGAGCAGTACCCTGTCTGATGTCACCAGCCAAGAAGGGAGAGCTTGACCATTGATTGACCTTCGAGGATGTTTGAAGAATCGTTCATGAGGCGTCTGGTTCGTGGCTGTGCATAGCAACGAACGAACGCTGTGCAGAGCCCGGGGGAGGACGGTTTCCCAGTTTTTCAAGTCGATGCTGTCAGAGTGACAGGCCATGCACACAGACTTCCAGATGATGCCGTTGTAACGCTCGGTTTGACCGTTGCCTGGGGCGTTGTATGCCGAACAGAAGCTCTGGGCGATGCTGTTCTGTAGGAGAAACTGCTTAAATCGAGAGGACGTGAAGGCGGTGCCCTGATCGGAATGTACAAACTCCGGTGTGCCAAACATAGTGAACAGAGACATCATACACTGTATCGCCGAATCCGCAGACGTATCGGCAGTAGGAAAAGCGAACGGGAAGCGGGAGAATTCATCTACCACGACAAACATGTACGCTCTTTGAGTGTTTGATGGCAGGGGACCCTTGAAGTCAACGCTCAATCGCTCAAACACTCTAGTCGCCTTGACAAGCGTGTTAGAGGTATGGACGAATCGTGGTTTGTGCTGTGCACAGGTTCTACACTGCGTTACGACTCGCCTTACATCATCCACCGAACAAGCCACATTCCGCGACCGGAGGTAGTGCCACAACCGCGTTACACCAGGGTGGCAGAGTTGTCCATGGAGAGATCGGATGAGATCTTCAGTGTCCGTGGTGGTTGCGCCACAGACAGCCCTGGATAGCATGTCGGGAACTGTGTTGAACTTCCCCGGACGATACACGATCTCAAAGCTCATGCACGCCAGCTCGAGACGCCAACGCAGTATCTTGTCGTTCTTGATGCGTCCTTTGCTCGCGCGGTCGAACATGAAGGAGACCGAGCGTTGATCTGTGATGAGCTTGAAGTGGCGTCCAATCAGAAGATGCCGCCACTTTCGAATTGACTCGACTATGGCTGCAGCCTCCTTCTCAACGGATGCCTGTTTGCGTTCTGATGGGTTTAACGTTCGCGAGAAGAAGGCGACCGGCTTGTCGTTCTGAGTAAGAGTGGCTGCGATCGCATTATCAGACGCGTCCGTCTCTACCACAAAGGTAGCGTAGTCGTCAATCGCTGACATGGTAGCAGCACCGATGTCTTCCTTCAACCGCTGGTACGCCGCGACCGCGTCAGGCGACAGGGGAAAGCAGTCGCCGTCGATCAGCGGCCGGAGCTTCTCGGAGAAGGACGACACCCACTTGGAGTAGTGTGAGAGCATGCCTACAGCTCGCTTCAGTGCCTTCGCGTCCTCGGGCACCGGCAGCTCCATCAAGGCTCGAAGTCGCTCTGGATCAGGTCGAATCGTCCGGTTCTCCACCACATGCCCCAGGATCCTGACGGATGTCTTGCCATACTGACTCTTCTCTTGATTGATCGTCAGCGAGAACTTCTTTGCAGCGTCGATGAAGCGCTCCAGGTTCCTGTCATGTTCTTCTCTGGTGCGACCACAGATGGTCACGTCGTCGACGTATGCAAATGTGTCGCGCAGGTTCTCAGCTCGGATGACATCGTCGAGGATCTGCTGAAAACAGGCGACCCCATTAGTGACCCCGAACGGGATACGAAGGAATTCGAAGAGTCTTCCATCAGCTTCGAAAGCTGTGTACTTGCGATCTTCAGGATCGATGGGGATCTGGTGATAGGCACTGGTCAGGTCTATCGTGCTGAAGTAGGAGTATTGAGCGATCTTTTCAACCTGTTCGTTGATTCTTGGCAGCGGGTAAGCATTCAGCTCCGTGAAGCGATTGATGGTCTGGGCGTAGTCCACAACCATCCGACGTTTCCCGCTAGGAGATGCAACCACAAGAACTTGAGCACGCCATGGGCTGGTGCTGGGAGAGATGATGCCTTCCTTTAGGAGACGATCGACCTCACCCTCGATGAACTTCACTTCGGAGGCGCTGTAGCGGCGTGACTTGGCCTGGATAGGGTGACAGTCCTCCGTCAAGTTACCGAACAAGGATGGTGGCGTTACCACTGCGGGAGTCAGACAGCACAGGCTGAGCGAGGATCGAGAGCCACCGAACGTCAGGGACACGCTTTCGTGTGCCTTGAGAAAGTCATGACCGAGTAGCACAGGTGCACACAGATCGTCCATGACAGAGAACAGGTAGTCATCATATGATTCATCTTGAACCCGTAGTCTCACCCTACACTGCCCCGCCACCTTGACATGATGCTGTGTGGAGGCCATGCACACAGTACCATGTGCGGGTTCGATGTTCAGGTGAACGTCCTCTGCGACCCGGGTACGGATGAAACTCTGAGAGCTACCAGTGTCGATCAGCGCTTCGAACTCTTGACCATTGATTGTGACACGTGTCATAGCAGACCGTAGACTCGGAATAGAGGTTTCATGCATTGCTGACAGTATCGGCATAGAAGCTGTGGTTTGTCTCCGGTCCTTGGTCGGTTGTGCTCTTCTGGACCATCTCCCCATCTGGCAGACTGAGGCAAAATGCCCCTGCCTACCACAGCTTGAACAGGTAGCATTGCGTGCACGACACTTGTTTCGAGCATGATGTGGACCACCACAGAAGAAGCAGGTACGTTCAACTGCTGCAGTCACTTCCTCTCCTCCTCGAGCGGATGGCACTGTCTCCTCCGCAGAAGAAGGATCAGACTGAGCATGGGCTGTCACTGTCACTGGTGACGAATCACTGCTGTTTCTATGATACATTTCAGATTGCTGCTGGGCCATCTCCAGAGCACGAGCCTGAGAAACAGCTGTTTTCAGATCAAGCTGAAGGTTCTCCAGAAGACGCTGTCGAATAGCACTGGATGACAGGCCATTGATGAAGGCATCACGTATGGCATCCTCCTTTACTTTTTCAGCTGTAGCTGCTTCAAACTTGCATTGAGATGCCAGGAGCCCCAGTTCCTCGAGATAAGTGTCAAGTGATTCCCCAGCCTGCTGTCGCCGAGAAGCGAGCCTG